TTTGTGGGGTTTTTTTCCCCCTTTCTTATCAAAACTAGTAGGTCACGTGTGCTCCTTGCAAGTCACAGCCTTTTTTTTTTTTTATTACGTTTGTTGTCTCAGCAACAGAAATACGGGGCGTGTGCAGTTTCCCATCAGCATTAGCAGCCATAGTGAACTGAAGTACCGATGAGTAATACACATACAAATCATCCCGTATTTTCCAAATGCGTGGTCAGGTGGTTGTAGCTTTGGAGGGAATTAATAATTTGAAGGGATTTGTATCTAACATGACTGGATGTATGTTTTACAGTATCTGAAAAATATTTCATTAAAGCAAATGAACAAGCAAAATGAATTACAGAAAAAGAGGGGTTTTTTTCCCTTTTTCCCAAATGGGATTTTTTTAAAAACTGAGTTTAAAAAAATCAAACTTAGGCCTGGTTAAAAGGTTTAAACTTGAATTGTATGTAATTTTAGAACAAAATTAATAATAAGAATTTAAACCAAATTTGTAGTGTAGAACTTACTCTATTTGCTGTGATTGCAGTATCAGAATTAAAATAAAGCAGCCACACCCCTGCCCCAGCCAGGCCCTGTCCTTTCATGAGCCCTTTGAGTTCCGTGTTGGCCGGTGTGGTTTTATATGACTTTCTGGGATCTTGCTCCCACACACTGCAGGAAAGAGCTGGGAGGGACATAGTCTTTTCACATTAAATGTGAAGGATTGGCCTAACTTGTATAGGGCACACGTATATTGGCAATACCTAAGCTTATATTAGAGTATTTCTACTAAATATTTATTAGCATAATAAGTTCTAACTATAGTATATTAAAAGCAGTTAGTTTGCAAATAATGTTTTCATTTATAAATATATAAACATCAATGCTAAAGAAAATCAAGGGTGTAATCTTGGTTTCAGATCAGAGGTTTACTGAGCAGTGAAAATTTGTTGCAAATAGGATTCTCTTGTCTTCATTGTTACCTCCTTTAATTTCTTTTTTCTTTAAATAGTCAGAAGCAGAAGTATTTTTAATTATCAAGAAAATACTTCTTTCATTTATGGATTCATCAACCTCTAGACGGTGGAGGAGAGAGGAGAAAAATCAAAAATCTGTAGTGATGTAGAGTGCATATGCTTCAGAGCATATTAAGCCAGTGTGGACAGTCTGGGAAAGTAACATAGAAGCAGGAAAAAAGAAGTATAGGACAAAAGCTAAAATTAGTTCAGCATTGCTTATTGCAAGGAACTGGTGAAAGATTATCTACAACTCTGAAAATGCTGTAAAATATTCTGCTTTTATAGACTTGTTAGTAATTTTCAGGTTTACCACTGTATGTGGCAAAATTCTTGAAGTTTAATAGCTTTAAATAACCACCTTTGCAATTCTCAGTTTGTTCTTTTGTATCTGAATTCTCCCCTAGCGTCCGTTCACCTCCTCTGGCAGCTGCCTGGATACCGTCCCCTCCCTCCACTTGCTGTCTGCTCTGCCCAGAGCCAGGGATGCCCTGCAAACACCTGCAAAGCCTGTGATGCTGCTGGGCTCTCTCTGCTCGCTAATGGCGCTAAAAATAGCGATTGCTTGGGGGGGGATTTCAGCACAGTGGTGTTTGCAGGCTTGTTTTGGTCTGGCCTGTGAATATCTTCTGTAACTAATGGCTGCATCAATATTCTAGATCAAAACGCAAAAGGACTTTTAGCCAGTGATTCCGAATTGCTTGTTAGCTAATAATGGATAATATGTTTTTACTGTTGATCCCTTTTCTGCAGTGCCTCCAGCTGTAGTTTTCATCTTTCATTTGAGTAGATGTCAAATTATTTCTGTTTGTATGTATGTGCATGTTCATGCATATAAAAATTTTTTGGTCATAGAGATAGATTTATTGTGAGAGCCATTCTGGGCAGGTAATATGTTTTCAACTTCTCTGTACAGATTTGCTAAGGTTTAGGGGGTTTGGTTTGGGGTTTTTTTTGGGAGGGGGGTGGTTTGGGTTGGGGTGTTTTGGTTTTTTTTTTCCAGAAAATGTAGGGAAGTTTTTTAATACTGAATAAATATAGTAGCATAATCCTTTTGTTTGTATAAATTATGCAAGAGGTATGTCACAAGCCATAATGTCACTATCTCTACTGTCATTTTCTTTGTATTTCATTACAAATATTCTTTTCTCGTGCACCTGCATTGAAACATCAGTTGTATAGTAAATTGAATAGGCTGAGGTGCTGTCCCATATGCAGAGGGCTACACATATACACTCTGTCTGTAAGGTAAAGGCCTTGCAATCTTGCATCACTTAAGTAGGGCTGCTCTTTCTGCTGCCTCAAGGAAATCTCAGCCATGGGCAGTGTAGAAAGTAGTGTCCCCATTCTGTTGTGCTGATGTTTCCCATTTAAATGCAATCTGACAGCTACAAGCTTTAGGGAGTAAAATTTTAATTATAAATAAATACCTATATAATATTAAATACATACATAACCTCCATACCAAAAATCAGGTAGTCCCAGCTGACTGTAATGATATTTTACTTTCTCCTGTTGCTGTGGTAGGCAAGTCTCTGCCTTTTTGGAGTCATGAAGAATTTCCTCTCTTTGTAGTTTAGTGTTTAGTTCAGTCCATGTTGGTGTGTTGCCTCTGCTCTTCAGGAAGGAGCGTTTTAATGAATTGTGTTTGCCAATGTAATAAAATCCTCCTGTTGGGGAAACAGCCCAGCGGCCAGCTCCAGTGTTGTGTCAGAGAACAGGTCTGTGTTGCCATGTGGATGCAGTCCAGTGTTTTCTGCCCTCGAGTGTTTTGCAGACCCAGGACCACCTCCTGGCTGGCAAAGGCACAGAAGCAACTGCCAGCGTGATGGGAAGAAAACACAAGGAAATACCGTAACTGGAGAGAGACTATCTAAAGGCATGCAGAAGGAATTTGCATTACCAGCAGAAGGAGAAAAATCTCATGTGAACACTTTGGGCTTCTAGTTTTCTAAAAGGATCTAGATGAAAGGTTGTGCAGTGCATTTTTAAGGCCTCCAGGCAATTACTTAGATATCAGAGTAAAGCTTATAATTGGGGTATGGGGAGGATGAAAGTACAGAGTTAGGAACAAATTCAATTTATAACATTAAATGATTGCATAATAATCCTTTTGCATTAAATTAAACAGTAATAAGTGTAATTGAGCCATGGTTTATCTATATATCCGTGCTTTTAATTGTAATGTAATTTCTCCATTGCCATGTATTTACCAGTTCTCTTGCTAAGGATGAGTTTTGAATAAATAATTGTGTTTATATAGTTTTCAATAAGAAGATGCAAATTTATTATCTGACACTTGTAACTTGCCAGAAGGCTCCTTTGCATTTAGGGAATATTTTACTTTGATTCCTAATCATATCAGGACCACTGCAAACAGCTAAGCACAAGGTGTCCTTGGAAAATCAAATTTTTTAATAACCATTTTCCCCAAAAAGCTAGGCAACGTGAAGAGACTTTTTTTTAATGGCAGTGGTTTTCAGCACTAAAGCTTGATCTTGGTAAGTCCCTTAGCAAAATATGTATCGGTATTTTTGAGAACATTTTTGGACCCTACTCTTAAACTCTGCTTCTCTTTGGAAAGTTGTGTGCTCTGTAACTCTTCATATGATGGCTGACTGAATACAGAGAATGAGAACTGTCTGATGCATAAAGTTGGTCCTGTCAAAACATATGCATAGTGGAGAAAAATGACTTAAAGTTCAAGTTATTGTTGGCTTTCCTGTAAAACTGGGCAAGCCAGGTGTCTGCTTTGTTAATTTGGTTTCTGTGTGAGCACTTAGAATTGTTTTTTGATAAAAGTCATTGTTGATACTGGGCTGAACTGTTAGGTGAGATCTGGACACTTGTTTGTCAAAACTGATCTGCACTAAATGCACAACAGCCTTTTTTGTAGAAGTGAAATTGAACTTGTCAGGGGTAATGGGGCAATCGCTTTCCTGCCCTGTATGCTCAAGCACAGGGGCTGGATCCTCTACAGCCCTCTGCTCCAGAAGTGGACCTCCCTGAATCTTTGCTGAGTATAAAGCATTTTGTAGAAAACTCTTCTGAAGAAGAACAGAAATCGTTTTTCCTCTGATTTTCTCAAACGTTTTCATCCTTGATTTCTGAACACTGGAGTGTGTCAACATTAAAGATTTACTTAGCAAATGACAGTAGCAAGATGCTGTAGGAGGAAGCACCCTGTATACAAGAAATGCTGTCTTTATTAGCTATGCTCAGTATGCTGGTTAGAAATTTTTCCATGTACTTGCTACTGTGTGCTGGTTTAATTATACATACACACCCCTACCCTCTAGTGTGTGAGTTCAGAGCATCCTCAAAGTTGAACTTAGAAACCTTACTGTTTTGAGTGAGAGCTAAAGCTGCCACCCCAGCTTTGAAATCTATGGGTGGGCTATGTTAAAGTCGTCTTATTTAAATGCTTATCTCAGGGGATGAAAATCAGTAGGGATATTCGTTTTAGAGGGGTGGCAACTGGCTAGTATGTTTTAACAATGTGGAACTTTGCAGTTAATATTTTTTAAATCATGGTTTGATATAATCTTAAATGATTGCCTTGGACTTGGTTGGCATTTGGCTACAAGTGCCAGAAGAAAGATGACCTTGGCTTGTTTGAATTCAGGGGACTGTGAGGACTGAGGAAGCTTATTAAGAGATTCTCATTTTCACTGTGATCTTCTCATTATATGGACACTCCTGCTGTGTATAGGGACTCCCAAGAACATACATTTTACTTTGCATTAGTCATGGTGATTCCTCAGATGCTACACAATAGGGCATCATGTGTTCAGGTTGAATGGAAAAGAACCACTTTAATATGTCACACTGCTCGATATACATTAGATAAGGAGATCTTGGGTGCATAGTGTTAGGTTGAATTACAGCAGGGACTTTTCAGCACTGTTGCTTTCTGCTCATGCTTTCTGCTAATGACATTAAACACCATTTGGTCTTAGCTGGGTGCATCTGGATTAACGTCAATGCATTCTCTTGTTGTAGGAGCAGCTTACTGCCAGTTCATGGACATGTTGTTCCCAGGGTGCATTAGCTTGAAGAAAGTAAAGTTTCAAGCAAAGCTGGAGCATGAGTACATTCACAACTTCAAACTTCTGCAGGCGTCATTTAAAAGAATGAATGTGGATAAGGTAGGCATTCCGTATTTGTATTTCAATCATTACATGTTTCAAAAGTTGTATAAATTGGGTAAAATTAATAGGGGAAACAAACTTCAAAATACTTGAAAGTCCATTTTTTCAACATTTTCTGGAGTTACAAGTTATATGTGAAGACGTCCTTGACCTTTCATCTTCTCAAAAGGGTGTTTAGCCATGAACAAAGAAGTTTGGCATGCTCCATTTAGGTACAAATTGAAAATTGAGTCCATGTTTCTGCTGAGGAATTGTGCAACCTAACTCATTATATCTTAATATCGAAGACCCTTTTGCTGAAACACCATGTGTTGGAAATTCCTTTCATCAGCGAATCTTAATTTTTAGATACAGTAAAATTACCAGTGACCTGAATTTCCAACACAGTAACTTAGAAATATGCTGTTCTTATAAGTATTCCATGTTTCGTGTCCAAAGCAGAGTTTAAGGAATTCAAATTATTCAAAAGCTGGAATAATTTACCCAGTGATTTAATAGGTTGGGCAGCACATGTGATCTTGTTAAAAATGGAAGTCTCTGAGAAAATGGGTATGTTCAGCCATACGGTATTTGGTTTATGCTTGAATGTGAGAGTTTGATAGACTCACCAGTATAAATTACTGTGTTGATAAAAACAAATAATGGAAGTTATGTTGTCATTCTTACAGTTCTACACTGATGGACTACCTGAATACCCTTCTAAGATTCTGCTCTGGCTTTTAGTGTTGCCTTATTCTGAAACTCAAACAGTCTTAATAGAAAGTCCCTTAAGACTTCTATAAAGCACTGGAAAACCCTTGTTTCATGAAATGTTATAGATGCTTCTATTTACAGTGTGATTTGCTAGTGAAACGTCTAATGTATTGAACACTGTCAATTTTTCTGTAGGGAGCAAACTTAACTATATCTTCTCAATGTGAAATTAAGATACAAATGGAACAACATGGAAAGACATGCAAAATGCTGTGTTAATTCTTGGAGATTTGTAAAATGCTGTACAGTTGGCTTAACCTTGAAGAAGAAATTAAAATTGCAAAGGGTTTAGGTAGTCTTTTCCAGCTGAAAATTGAATGCATTCAAAAGGCATTAATATCCATCTAACTTGGCTCTTTATTCAGCTGCATGAATTAAGTAGGGCAGCTCTCCTGCAGTTTGTAGTCCTTGTCTGCCCACAGTGTCTGGGAACCTTGAGTACTGTAATATTGGCCAAAGACACCTTTTGGAGGTTTCATATCTGTGAAAAATTTGCAAGATATGGATATGGAGATATCCTCATAGTCTTTCCATTGTTTTACTAAAACTTTATAGACATTTTAGTGAGCTTCTGCATGTCCACAAACTGTTCTATGTATAGCTGTGTGTGGAATGGAAAAAAATTACAAGGTTAAAACCTCAGGGTTAGTTCAGATGATGAACATGTGCTACCAAAGTGTAGGTTGGTTTCAACTTTAGCATGTCTTGGAAAAGCTGCTGGGGTTTGTAGTTCAAACAGTAGGACAGAGAGCAAGAAACTCCTGACTGTACTTTTTGAAGAATTGTTCATTTTTAGTATGTCCAACTGTAGCATGTCCATTAAAACCAGAAATCCCTAGCTGGCTGAACATAGTGTTACTCCCAGAACAATGTCATTCATTATGGCTGTCACTGCAATCAGAAGGGAGTGGAACAGCAGTTACAAAGGCTTACATAGACCTAATGTATAGGTACTTCAGAGCCTGGGTCTCTGTTTTGTTTTCATTTTTTACAAGCACTTGCAAATTGATCATAATTCCATTTCTTTTAGGAATGAAACAATGGCAGAGGAATATTTGCTGATGTAGTTAGTAAATTTTTTTCAAATTAGTGTATATATGTAATGTTTATATTTTAAAATGGCAGCGACAGATTATTGGAACCTTTATTCTGCCTTTCAGGTAATTCCTGTGGAAAAACTGGTCAAAGGGCGCTTCCAAGACAACTTAGATTTCATTCAGTGGTTTAAGAAGTTCTTTGATGCTAACTATGATGGGAAGGAGTATGATCCTGTGGAAGCTCGACAAGGCCAAGATGCTCTTCCTCCACCGGATCCTGGTGAACAGATCTTCAACCTGCCCAAAAAGTCTCACCATGCAAACTCTCCAACTGCAGGTATTTTGCATTTTAAAGAATTCCATTTCTGTCTCTGAAGACAATTGTAAACTGTGGTCCACTTTACATAAATACTAGTTAAAAATGTGTGGGCTGGGCCATTCTTTTTGCCTCACATTCTTTTTGGCTTAGCATCTTGATACATCAGAAAGTGAACTTTTTGAGCACTCCAGTTTGGCCCAGCATAGGACCTCCTCCACTGAACACCTTGATGTAAATGATGTGGACTGTAGTAATGGCTGATAGTGGAGACAAAGGCATTTAACCATCTTGTTGCTGCATGTGGTATGTATAAGTGTATTCAAGGACATTAAATGGAGTGTGTTTGTCTTTCACACCTCCACTTTTACAGGAAATTGCTAGCACAGGCTCATTTATTTTTTATTTTTTATGGAGAGTAAAGTGTTTCCGAATCTTAAGGGCTGACCAGAAGGAAAAAAATTATTTATTTCTGGTTTTATGTGTGTTTATTGTTGGGTATGCTAGTCCTCTTAACTGAACAAAGTACAACTATTGCTCCTTCTCAAAGATACCTCAGTCTTCTAACTTTTTATTTTGTGTTTTTACTGGGTTTTGCTAGGATAGAGATCACTCTCTTCATAGGAGATTGTATGGTGCTAAGTTTTGGATTGATAAGACTTGGATGTTTAATTATTGCTGATCAGTATTTGCAGTTTCAAGGCCTTTTCAGTTTCTCACACTGCCTTGCTAGCAAGCAGGCAGGCGGTGCACAAGAAATTTGGAAGGGACACAGCCAGGACAGCTGACCCCAACAGACCAAATGGATAATCCATCCCACATGGCATCATGCTCAGCAAGAAAAACTGGAGAGAGAAGGAGAAAAGTGGGGAGGGATGTTTGGAGTTACAGCGTTTTTCTTGCCAAGTCACCATTATGGGTGATGGAGTGTGGCATTCCTGGAGATGGCTTAGTTCCTGCCTGCCCATGGGACGTAGTGAATGAATTGTTTGCATGGCTTTTGCTTTACCTGTTAAACTGTCTTTATCTCAACCCATGAGTTTTCTCACCTTTGCCCTTCTGATTCTCTCCTCAGTCTCACTGCAGGGGACAGTGATAGAGTAGCTGTAGGGACTCAGCTGCCTACTGGGCTTAAACCACAACAGTGCTTCTGGAACAGGCTAAAGGACTAAACCTGATCTTTGGTGTTTATGTGATATTGGTATGACTAAGGACTAAGCAGGTGCCATTTTTGTTAACTGAGAACTAAGTGAACAGGAGAGCAGCTAATATTAAAAAAAAAAAGTCACTAAAGAAGTGTTACTGGGGTTGATGGTCTGTATGCACACAGGTTTGTGCGTGCAGAAACACACATGCACACACACTTAATTCCTTTATTGGTTTGTCCTGGATTTATGCTAACGCATTCCTCAAATAAGGATTAATATTTAGTTGGTTTTAAATCTGTGACCTGTCTTCTCATGGGCTCGGATATGCGCCAGTGGCAAAGGGAAGGGGCGGGTGTGAGGCACCCTCAGTTTTAGGCTGGCTTATGCTCTGGAATCATACCCAGATTTCAGCGTTCTGCTCTGATCACTCCTGACGTCAAAGTGGGGCATTCTTGGCCAGCTGCCTTTAGCTCATTAGTGCTTCCAGGAAATGGAGCACCTAATAGCAGGCCAGTGCTGCTCTGAGCTTCTAAAGCTTGTTTACATCTTTGTTTTGCACCGTCTTGTGCCTGAACCTCTGAATTTCAGGGACTGGCACACACTAATTTCCCATGTAATGTCTTGCACTCCCTTTGAAAACAAAACCCAAGTGCTAATGTCAAGATGTTGTCCAGTTGAGAAATTGGAAAAGACACTTTTATTAAACACAGACTTGTTAATTCTTTGTACAGATGGTCTGTTTTTACCAAAGTCACAAATATGTCATCCAAATCAAAGCTGTGGAGGTGACAATCCTACAGAAATTGAATAGCTACTGGAGTGGAACCAGGCAGCTGATATGGAGGATAATGCAGTGTTGTGTTGTGTTAGCTTCTTCATGGAAAGATTCCTTCATTATTATTTTCCGTATTGTCTAGAAGTATGAGAGAGAGGACGCTAGTTTAATTTCTGAGCTGAGGATGGGGGTATAGACATTACATAATGCTGAGTGAAGTGAGAGTTCCAGCTTTTCTTGCTGCTTGTGTTTCAGAACAGGACTAATTCATTTAGGTGTCAGTCATTCATAGGTTTCCTGATTTCTGGGTGAGCGCATTTTCATTTCACTGATGTATTGTGCTTTTGTGCCTCACCTCACTGCGTCAGGTGACCTGGTTGTTTGACAGGATGAGAGCCCTTACTGGGTGCCTGTTGACAGAGGACGTGTTGGGAGGAGTTCTGTATGCATCTGCCAACTTGTGTGTGCCTCATCTCAGGCCATTTCAGAGTAAATTGGAATGCTGTGGGAGCAAGTTCTGGGTAGTTGGAAAATCACCATGAAAGATGTGTTTCTGTACCTCTGTCTTGCGCACATGCACAAGGAGTATTCTTTACAGTTGTTATAAGAGCCATAACATGCAGCCCAGGATGCAGTTGGCTTTCTGGGCTGCAAGCACACATTATTGGGTCGTGTTGAGCTTCTCATCGACCCACACCCCCAAGTCCTTCTCCTCTGCACTGCTCTTAATCCCTTCCCTAACCAGCCTGTATTTGTGCTTGGGATTGCTCCAGCCCAGGTGTAGGACCTTGCACTCAGCCTTGTTGAATTTCATAAGGTTCACATGGGCCCACTTCTCAGACCTGTCAAGGTCCTTCTAGATGGCATCCCTTTCCTCCAGCCTGTTGACCACACCACACAGCTTGGTGTCATTTTTAATTTGTGTGATTTGCTCTATATTAACACTGAAGCTTTGAAGTCTTAGTACTGCCTTGTTTCAGTTCATTAGCAAAACAAAATGAAGCAATAGTGAGAGAAAATAACCCAGAAGATCTTTCAGCATAATCCAAAAGTTTTTAAACAGTGTGTAGTAGACATGCCTAAATGTATGCATCTGTTGTTTGGTGTCAAGAGGGAGTAGATATATGGGTACTCATTCATACCGTATTTTGGGGTTTGGCAGATTTTAAAATATTGTAAATTGATCAAATGTATACATTTCTAAAGGAATAATTATTTAGCTACCAGTAATATTTCATATGCATTTCAGATGATTCCTGTTGTTTCACATAAAAACTCTTCCAGTGCCCTTTGACTGAGTTTTCAGTTTGAGTGATTTAAGAGATGCTGATCTTATTAACTCTTTATAACTGCCTTATGACACTGTGTTCTAACACTGTATTTTCAGAGGTAGACTAAGATACGTCTTTCAGTTAGTAAGTGGTCAAATCCCTAAAGACTGCTCTGAAAACTTACTCAAAAAGGTACTGGCATGAGTTAAAATTATTTTTGGTATTTAGTAGGCACTAAGGCTTGACAGGACCCCATGGTATCAGGTAGTTGCTTTCTGTACCTGTACGTGAATATTTACCTGTATCTCTACAAATGCAGAGTATGGTCTTTATTTAATTTGAAAAAAAATGCTTTTAAAACAAGGCAAAACTCAAAAAATCTGAAAATGCACTGGGGTTTGTGTTAATCGGGGAGTAGGCCAGGAGCCGTAGCCCTTCCCCTTCCAAAGGTGATCCTACTGGGGAGTCAGCGCAGGTCAAGGATAATGCAGCTCGGAAATGGAAGCATAAATAGGTCCCTACAACTAATCTGCTGTGCCACCCTCGCGTTGCCTCGTCCCTTCCATCAGACAGAGCCGATTTGTGGCCAAGCTGATGGTGGTGCCATGGGTGGATGGGTTTATAATGTGTAGAAGTCTGCTTCTAGAAAGAGTAGGAGCAGCAAGGATTCACCAGGTAAATACAGCTCCCTGCTGGGGGAATTAGGGTGTTTTCCTCCTTCAAGGAGCAGAGCCAGCAGCACAGATCACTGCTGTAGGCTCTCTGCCAGCAGCACCACAGCTGCTTTGAGATATAATGCCATCTGCCAGCCCTGAGCTGACTTTCGATCTCCAGCAGCCTCCGCTCTTCTCTAATGCAGTGGTAAACAGCCTACAGATGTACAGTCAAAATTATGGTACGGGATTAAAATATTAAGGCACTGTTGTTTGTGCCAGTTCTAATGCTCCCTGTGGGAAATAGCAGAAAAAGCCTCATCTGATCAAAATTGAAAATACTGATCAGGTTATCAGGATTTTAGCTTAGTGTCTTATGTAAGTATTCCTGTATGTCAGAGCAGATCTCCATGGAGCACTCTTTTGTGTGGGGGTATGGGGTGTCAAAAATACACATGTAAAAGACAGCTTAATAAAATTAATTATTTACATGTAAGCTAAAAATGTGAGAGGTTCTTAGATCTAAAAGCTGTTAGATTTTTTTAGTTTGAAATATTCAGTGAGAGCAGGATGACTAAACCAGAGCTGGAAAATACTGGAGGATCACATGAGGGCTAAAAATACTCACACTATGACAGGGAAAATAACCAGGGCAGAATGAACTGTTTGTGCATGAATGCTTTATATATAATGTGCCATCGAAGAGCCAATTGCACAAGAAAAATAATGATTTTCTTTAGGGAAATAGTATATCCTGCTGTGGCAGATATGCTGGAAATTAATTTTGAGGGATAAAAATACTCAACAAAACCAGTCTTTATTTTAGTAGCTAGTGATACAATTAGGACTCCTGGGAGACTAGAGAACTCCTTCTAATGCTCCTTTTTTTTTTATTTTGCTTTCCACCAAGACTTGCTACCTTTTCCCCAGGTGTCAGGCAATTGGTGTTGGTGATGGCAACCTCTGCCCGCAGTGGTGGGGTGCTCCAGGACAACGTGGCTGAGCTGCAGGGCAACAAACTGAAAACCTTCTCATGCCTAGTTCATACAAGGCCAAGGAATTGTACTAACTGATGGGAACAGCATGTGCAGTGACAGTGCTGGTCTGGGAGGTAGAGGAAAATGTCTCAGCTGTAATACAGACACACCTCCCCTGCCAGCAGGAGGAGAATTTA